CCTGCAATCGCTTTGTTTAAGGTAGTCTCGTCTTAATTTATTATATTTATCTGTGGATGTCATTCCTCGAGTTTTATGATGCACAAAAAGGCGTCGTTACTGTAAGGGATTTCTCTCTCACTCATTCTCTTTTTAATGTTGCAGCCAATCTGGAGTGGAGAGACTCCAGGGCATTTGCAGAACAGCCTGACATATTTCAGTTCTTTGAAATTATCAGGTTTTTACACAGCGAGGGCAGAAGCATGAAGAAAACCAGGCTTACTACACAATTTTGAGATAGGGAAGGGAATGGAGACAAAGGATTGGGTTCAAATTTGGCCGTTTAGTTTGTTTGCAGATTTTGGAAAACCATTCTCTTAATACTTGCCTATCCCATTAGTGGTGATGAAAAGGAGAGATGGATTGGAGAAAACTATGGATACTACCTATAAACCTGGGAGAAAGATGAAATATATCAGTAAGTTAAAAAATAAATTAGAGGCAGGTTTGAAGAGGAAACAATTGTGTAGGAGAAGCTACTCTGTATTGAAATAGAGTTGGAGATATTGCTTTTAAAAAACCAAGCAGACACAAGTTAGGCTCCTTTGTTGTAATTGTAAAGACTGCCTTACTTAATAAGGACAATATCTTGAAATGCACTTTAAATAAAGTGTATTATGGAGGGGGGGTTGGTTGCTTAAGTGGTTTGTTATTCTTCCCCCCACTTGTTTATTCAGCCATCTGATCCACCTTATTGATTAGCTAAAGTAGATTAAGCCTTAAAGACAGAACACAAAACTCCTAAAAAAGAAAATTATATTGCTTATCCTTTGGTAAAAATAGAGCTTGGGATTCTTCAATTGGATATTCCCTTCTTTCCCTGTAGCTCTCACACACTTTGATCTGCTTTCAGGAGCCTCCCGATTCTCTCCTGATGATTTGATAACACTGGAAACTAAAGGAATGTACTCTGCTGTTTCGTTATTTTGTTTAGTATACACACACACATCCCATGTGTATTATTTTTATAAATAACTCAGGGTAACAAACATACCTAATATTCCTTCCTTCTTCCATTGCCCCGATAACAATAACCCTGTAAGGTGAGTTGAGCTGAGAGTGACTGGCCCAAAGTCACCCAATCAGTTTTCATGCCTAAGGCAAGACAAAAACTCAGCCTCCCAACTTCTAGCCAGGTGCCTTAATTGCTCGCTGTTCTGTGATCCAACCTAGCTGGATTTCACTTTACTGAACAGCTTTTGCACTAACAAAATATCAGAAGCTGCCAAAGTTCTCCCTTTCTTTTCCCCCTTCCCTTTAAGTACTTCAGACTTAGTAAGTTACTCCCTAATGCAAATTGCAAATTGATATCAGCACGGCTTCTTTTATTATCCCTCAGCCTCTAAATCATGGGTTGATTGACTTGCGGCATCACATGACGTTTCACTATGCTTTACCCATTCGTGGAGCTGGGTGGGTGTGGTCTGCGTGTGACACATCCTGCCTGTGGGCCGCCAGTTTGACACCCCTGCTCTAAATATAATGACCAGGACATTATCATTTTTTTTTTACCTAGTTAAGCAAGAGAAAAACAAATCCAGCTTTTGTGAAAAGCCATATAGTTTAGAGTAAAATCCATACTTGAAACTGCTGGGATTCTGAATATCCATGAATATAATAGTTGTCCTGTTAAAATGGTATACCCTTAACTATATTCAAAAGTCACAAAACAAGTATATTTCATCTATTGATCTCTATGGACTGCACGGATGTGAAATGGATGTGAAGTAAAGAGTAGGTCTGACCTTCTAGGATTATGATAACCTGAAATTTTAAAAATGATAAACAATAATTTAAAGGCTTACTTTATAAGCATCAGATTTACATCCATTTAGAACAGAGATGTTTTGCAGCATTATCATTAAAGCTCATATAAAAAACTTAGTCAAGATAAAACTTGCTCACAGACCTTCTTCAATTTAGCAAAACATTGTATCATATGAAAGCTTATTCAACTTTTTCAGCCCTTCAGAGATTTTTATGTTGAATTAAACAGCAGCTAATTGCAGATTGGTGTCAAAAAATTGCAAGGGAAGAAAATATTAAATCCCATTCCTTGTGCATATGTCCAGATCATGCCTTGGGTAGCTTTTTTGAAAGAATAAATAAATTAGTGCTAATTAATATTTTTTTCAAAAAACGGAGGGCTTATTTATATTTTTATCTCACCTTTTTTTTTTTCATTTACAGCTCAAAATAGCAAATACACCAATACTCCTTTCACTTTCCATTTTCTCTACAATAACAAGCCTATGTGACGAATTGGACTGAAGGTTTTTTCTCTTCCTAGGATTTTTTATTTTTATTTTTTGCAAGTGCAGGATCAACTTTCTTCAGATTAATCCAGTGTTGATGCAGGATCAGCTTTCTTCAGATTAATCCAGTGTTGAACCACTGATTGCAATAAGAATTGACTGACCAGTTTATGGCTGGAGCTAGGGATAGGCTGAATGAGAAAATGACTGTCCCAAAGTCACCCAGCCAATTTTTCATGCCTAAGGCAGAACTAGAACTCATAATCTCCTGATTTTAGTCCAACACCTTAACCGCTACACCTGTCTCAGGTTTAATGTGCAGTTTCGACCATCTCAACAGAAGTCACTTATACTGTGAAACCAAAATACTTTAAAACACTGACCATATAATACCTATTAGCTTATCCAAGCCACGAAGATACGAAGATCCCTTATCCCACTTTTGAGTTGAGTTTCTCTAAAACTAACAGGTGTAATTTTCTTCGGTTCATCTGCAAACACCCCTTGAAATAATAAATCCCCCTTGAACAGAGGTAATATGCCAATCTTATGCTGTGTGGGTTTTGAGCCCAAGTGATAAAAACAAAATGGTGAAATAATATACGAAAGAAACACAACGATGACAATCAGAAGTCTGGCAGCACCTTTTCCAACTAACACATTTTATGAAACAATATCGGGTTTTGTGAGCTTCAGCCCACTTCACCAGATACAAAGAGTGACTGGACTGATGTTAGATTTAATTGAGGGGTGGGAGAGGAAGACAGGTTAGCTATGCAGATACTGGTTATCTGAGAGACAGATTATAAGTACCTTATCAATTAACAACTGCAAACTGGTAAAATCCATTATGTTTGGTTAAGACTTTTTGAGATAGTCTAAAATCTTTTGATGCATAATTTAGCAACGGTCTTACTCAGTGGTAGAGTTAACGTCCCTGGTCTTCAAAATGTGACTTTGGGGTCTGTTACACAGTGTCCTGGTAGCTTGAATGCTCTGATAACCTTTTGTCCTTATCTTGAGTCTTGTTCCTCCTGTAACTGTGATGGCGAACCTATGGCATGTGTGCCAGAGGTGGCACGTAGAGCCCTCTCTGTGGGAAAACGAGCTGTCACCCCAGCTCAGCTCCGCTGCGCATGCCTCGTGCCGGCCAGCTGGTCCTTGGGTCTCTGCCACACATGCACGGGGGTGGGGTGCATGCACAGAGAATGCACTCGCATTGCATTTTGGGGATGCACGTGCACACTTATGCTTTGGGCACGCTTACACTTTGGGATGCCAAAAAGGTTAGCCATCACTGTCCTACAATATCTATGATCATAAGCACTAACCTGTCACTTAGAAAATGTATGGGTGCAATTCCCTCATGTAGAACATTCAGGATACATTCACACATGTTGAAATAGTCCACACTAGTTCTCTGGGCATTCAAACAGGGTTTATTGTAAGGCCAAAGCATTCTGTTTCATTCTTATGCAACAACCTCTTCCAAAAGCTTACAAGCCCTAGATTTCTTTCGCTGGCTGAGATTTCCAGGAATTGTTGTATCAATGCATCTAAAGGGGATTATGCTGACAAACATCAAATCTTTATAGTCTTGTTCTGTGCAATGCCATTAGTGCTTTCCTTCAATTTCTCTCATATCTATTAATGCCAAAATGCCGAGTCTTGAAGAAGCTCTCCTTGGAAATGAGAACCTGCTTGTTTATTCCTTGTCCCAATGAGACAAAAGGAGTTTCCTCTCTTTCCATTTTACTGGATCCTCTGGATGACCTTTACTGCACCACGGGAGTAGGAGAAACTCTGAAATAAATAATAGGTGACTGCGGGTAGACGCTGCCATTTTAATTTCCTCAAAGCCAGAATAGCATCATTTCATCCGGGAGGCTGGAGAAGGATCAAAAATTCCACCGGCTACTGTGTTATGCTCTGTAGCCTCTAGGTATCCATGGAATCTTTTTCAAACACTTTCTCTATTAGCCCAATGTCCATGCGGCTATCAGTAGAGATAGCTGGGATCCTGTAAGTCCATTTATTCAAGGGAGGCAAGGTTGGTACCAGAAGGCATAGAAGAACACCTAACAAAAGGGGGGAAGGGAAAAGAAACAACTAAAAGCAAGGCAAATGGAAGCTAACTGTGAGAGGAGATTGTAAGTCTAAACATAGTGTTATTATGGGGGTGGGTGGGCGTGGGGGAAATAGCAAGGATTCAATATGATGGGGTTTTTGTTTTGTTTTTTTGGTCAGATGGTTAGAGTGTATCTAACTGAAGCGTGCAAACGTTCCTTCAGGCATTTGCCTTTAGAGATTTCTTTGGGCACGCTTCAAAACAGCTCCGCAAATCGGGATTTTGGCAAAGGAAGAAAAGGCTGAGTCGGATTCCCCCCGTCTCTGGGCCACTCAAAATTTCGTGAGGTCCAAGTCCGCACTTCGAGACCGCCAAGCGTAGATGTGAGAGAAGCAAAGTTTTACCCAAAGGCGTTGTCTCCGAGTCATCGGAGCCTAAATGGGACTGGCGTGCTTAAAGAGCTGGGATTTTTATTTTCTTTTTCTTTTCGCGAGACGGTACCAGGAAAACGGGCAGCAGCTCTCCGCCTCCACCCCTCTTTTCCCGCCCTCCTTTAAGCAAAGAGTTCGCAACGTTTGCATTGGCGGCCGTCCTAGAAGGGCATGGCTTACAACCATGAGGAGGAGGAGGAGGAGAAAGGCAGAGGGTCCAGCCGCACCAACTAAAGCGCTAACAGCTCCGGCTCCCGCTCCCATTTCCCAGTGGAAGGTCGTCCAGTTTCGCCGCTGCCGCCGCTTTTCCTCCTCCCCGGCAGAAAATCGCGTGGAGGGCTGGCTCCTTTCCCAGTCTCCGCGATCGCAGTAGCGGCGTGGCTATTTTAAAAGCCATTCCCACCCCACCTCTCTCTACGCCAGGGAGTTCCTCCTATCTCGGGACCCGTCTCAGTTTCAAACCGCCGGCTCCCAGGCAATCAAGGTTATACTCGTAGGCGCCTGGTGCGCGCGCACGTGTCCGGGGGTAAAGCAGCGGAATCTCGCCTTGCAGAATTTCGCCTTCTGAGGCGGAACGCCCCGTTTTCCCGCTTGCCGCTCCCCCCCCCCCTCCAATCCCTACCTTCGGGCTGCCTCGGGGAAATGGATTCCCGAGCGTGAACTATTAAACTGCTTCTTGGCAAGTTATGCTTGCTGCCTGCCATGCGGTTGTGAGCTGTCTTGAATAAAACGCACCCGGCGGGAGAAAAGGGAACCAAACTAAGGAGGGGGAAATATATATATATATATTATATATATCCAGGACGCGTCTCTTTCTCTACTCCCAAGTTTTCAGTTCAGCCGCCTCGAGATGGATGAGGATGGGATTCACCTCCACAGAATGGCCCGCGCGTCATGTAAGTGTTAACTCGTTTCCTTTGGGAAGGAAGTGTAGAGCTTGGGCTTCAGCGGCGGCAGCAACAGCAGGGACCTGTACGGTCTCTCTTTTAGCTTTAGTTATTCTTCTCGGGGTGCGAGCGATCAAAAACCCTCCCATCGAAAACATCTGGACCTTCCCCATAAGTGGAATAGGATGGCATTGCGTTGTAGTCCTGCCAGTTTTGCTTTTTCTTTTTTTAAATGAATTTGGGGTTTTAATATCGGACAAGCATTAGATGCTCAGCTTACGTTCTCGAGGACGATTCTCTGGTTAATTGGTTTCTATTGCGCCTATGACCCACAAAAGGAATGTTTTCAGATGCATTTCTGTCCATTCGCGTATGAATGTTATTTGAAACGTCACCATGCAAATAACAGCTGTCATAAATATGAATGGCACTAACTATATTTCTGCTGATTATTTAGCATGGTTGCATATGTATTTACTAATGATTACATAGTCATTATTTGTGGTGTTCAGTGTTCAGGGAATTGTGCTCCAACTTCCTTTATAACTGTATAAAATGAACGTGGGACTTAGCTACTGATAATAGGAACTGATCTCTCTCTCTCTCTCTCTCTCTCTCTCTCTCTCTCTCTCTCTCTCTGTGTGTGTGTGTGTGTGTGTGTGTGTAAGTAATTTTACCTGTACATAGGTAAAATTCTGTGATGGTTATTTGTTAAAGAAGTAAAAAGTAATGAGATCATCATGAATTTCATTCATAATAGGATGGCAAAATACTTCTGGTGAAGCCAAGATGAGGGGCTATTGAGAAGATACTGAATTTTTTAAAGTAAAAGAAAACTGAATCTTAGAACTGAGTCCATATTCCCCATAATTAATTGATAAAGATGGCACATTCACATTTTAATCATCCTTTGATATCTCTTATGTTTTTCAGAGCTGCACAACACGTGATAATCATTGTGCAGTTCTAGTTTCTTTCCAGGATTTTTCAAAACTCAGTAGTTAACTTGGAATATGCAGAAACGCAACTGGCCAGCTGAACTGTATACAAATGAAATGTAAATTTAGAATGACACCATTTATACATTCCTTGCTTTGTAATCAAGAGGCCAAATCTGGCTGTTTGATTCTAAGAATAGAATGGGGAATCCTATTCTTTACTTCCTTCTGTAAAATGAAGTGCCACCAGTATCCTGAAGCTGTTTATTAAAGCAGCCAAATATTAAATTGGAGTTCAGCCCACATCTAAAAGTATCGCTGTATGCTCATCAAATCTCCCAGGCTAGAGGAGAGGAAAGTGCAGACAAGGGGCACTTAAGAAAATTAGCCTAATATGAATCAGCTGTGGTTTGCTCACTGGCACTTTTTGGGATAGTAGGTATAACTCTGATTGTCGGTGTGAAAAAGGCCCTTATCAAAATTTAACACAAGAGATAGAGGTTTTGTTGAAAAAGACAAGTCAGCTAGAAGGGCGTTAATTATTAATATTTGGTCCAATGGGTACAAGGTACAGAGAACTAGTCATATGCATCAACAGATCTGTAGAACATCAAATAAGCAACTAAGTACTTGTAACCCAAACCACATAGAATTATATATTATGTGTTAAACATGTAGGATATACTCCAAAAGAGAAGAGATGTATTTTTCCTAGCTAATAGAATATGTACATTTTAAAAGATCTAGATTTGGTTCTACAGAATAGTTGTGTAGCATTCACTGTTAGCCAAGTACCATGGCATAAAGACCATTACTGAAAGGTCTGTAGATATATTTTAAACAACACAAAACAACTTAATTGCTTTCTATGAATATTCATAAATATGGGTTACATAAATTATTAGATCCAGAGATAGGCTTGATGCTTGCTCTGATAATATGAATATCTTACTCTGTTCCAATCTTTATTATCAATACTTACTGACTTCCCCATGATCCCATCTATATGACTTATGGTTCTTTATCATAGAAAAGAAAATGTTTTCTAATTGCAGAAGGGGCGGAGGATGTAATACCTATCCTTATATATAGTATTTTGAAAAAGCTACAGAGAATATATGATAAAAGTGGGGGGTGGGAATGCATTTCATTGAAAGGTCCATTCTACATATTTTTTTTCTCAAATTGAGAATTGGAATGTTTGTTGTTGTTGTTCTAACCTTGTAAATCACCCAACAACTGCATAATCTGTAAGAAAGAAGAAAGGTAATTTTTGTTCATTGAAGAATCAACACAAAATCTTGAAATGAGCACATTTTGTATCATTTTTATCTGCGTAGGACATAGAACGAACTAATTTCAGATTTTTAGTATTTCTTTTGATAGTGATCACTTACACCTGGTATCTGCAAACAGAGAAATAATGACCTTCCAAAATTTGTCGGACTATAGGAAATACAGTAATTAATTATGCTAGCTAGTAATGGTAGGTAGCCGGGAGTCTAACAACTGGAAAGACTACTGATGCCCTGTTTCTTTATTTACTTATTATTAGACTTGTTTGCCACTCATCTTATTTGTTTCTAGTAGTCAGTATTGGCAATGTTCTGATTTGTGGTGTACAGTGTGTTCTGAAATATAAGACAACATATGGCACAAATGTCTGAATCTGGTATCCTTGAACTCCCATAATTCCCAGCCAGCAATCATTAGTGTCCTCTTTTGTAGGACACCAGGTTTGGGAAGGCTAATTTAGTAAGTGCTGAGCTATAGCTTTGGTCCTGCCATGGAGACATGAAAAAACATTGCATTTAGTGGGATTTTTGTAAACCACTTAGATGTATTAAAGAGTCAGGAAACTGTTCTAGAATATGGTGATTGTGTCCCTCTGAGTCACAGGAATTCTTTTTCATGAGTTTGTGGTTTCACTGAAACGATAAATGAGATGACTACTTTCCTGCTCTGTCATAATCCTTCAGAGTCATAGGCATGTTACCCTGTGAGACAAACTAGAATGTTATTTCTAGCCCTAGTTTATGTTGATCCTCCTGTTTCCTTGAGAAGTTTCAGAATATGTGTGACATACTGGTTGGGAGCAGGCCAGGGAAGCATTAACAAATGTTATCATGTTTCTAAGGAACCTGCATTCCTGTATTTGCCCCATCAGTATTTGTGACTTCTAATCCTGAATGATAATTCAGAGCAAGTTAAAGGCCTAATTGTGTTTGATGGGCAGGAATGGGAAATGTGTTGAATTTCATTCTTCTCAAAAACTTCTCAAAATCCACAATTCATTTTTTTTTCTATTGTTGAAAAAGAAAGGTTAGCCAGCTTGCAACCATGTTTTATTATAAACTACCATTTTTGGTACCAAAGTACCATTACTGCAGTAGACATTGCAACAATACACTGTAACAGCAGCTCTAGCATGTTGTTTTTTCCCATAGCAGGCATGAAGTTACCCAGCAGTACAGCATTGTACTCAGGAGAATTCGGGGTTTGGGACATGGCCTGAAATCACAATAAATCCAATAAATTGAGACAACTACTAAATTAGACTGAAAATAGAAGTAAAGCTTAGACTTTTCATCTCATGGCTGCAGGGGGGAACTCTGCAAGGACAGAAAGGTGAATTTTAAAAAAAACCCACAGGAGTTTCAATCTATCCCCTTACTGCTGAACTTGGGTTTTGCAGTATGGGTAGATAATTTTGAACCATAATTCATCATTTCCTTTGGCAATGCTGGCTGGAGTTTATGTGCATTGACATCTAAAATATTAGGAGGGCACAGTGTTGCCTACCATTATTTTAAGGCTGTGTGCAAAAAGACCCAATAATTAATATTCTCATTAGTTGGACAGCTGCTAGAAAAGCTCTGAATTTTTCATAACCGTTATTAAAAGAGTTCCATATAAGGGCTTTCTGGTAAGGACCTTTGGCAGATAAGTTATCCTTGTGAACAGAACTGGGACAGAACCACTGAAATAGGCAGCCAGGAGACAGATTCCTCCAGAGGAAGAAGAGATCAAGCCACTTACACTGTTGATAGCTGCTCCTTGTGAGGAGATGAAAGGAATTAAGTTTCTTGAATTTCATGAGTTGAGTGATTTGAGAGACAAGGGAATATCAATGCACTCAGGACTGCTGTGCAGCATTTATGGATATATGACTAGTAAAAAAACCCTCTCACTTTCTTAAACACCACAATATAAAGAGAAGGTAAGAATAAAAAGATGTTATGGAATAAAAAAGAGAAAAAGATACTAGGTTAAAATTTGTATTTAGAAACAAAAAGTTTAAGAACATTGTGATCCGAAGAAATTAATATGTCCTTTATTAGGTTAAAGGGCATCATAATTTTAGAAAACAGAAGCTTTCTTTTATATATATGGAACCGTCTTTCAGAACTGTAAAATTTAGACAAATTATTTAGACAAATAATTAGACAAACTGAACAGACCTTCTTATGGAATGCTGATTGTTTATTAGTAAGGAAAAAGATAATTGGTGAATTTTACAGAACAAGAAGATAAGGGTAATATCAGCCAAACTGTGGGAGTGTAACTATAGAGAATTAATTGGACTAAATTGGGTGTTAAAGATAGAAAAAATAGAACAAAAAGGAGGAACTTCCCTCTTGCTTTCACCCTTGTAATTAACATACTTTCTCATAGTGGCCACTATAAAAAAAAGTACCAAAATTAGGAGAAGGAAGGTGAGGTTCAGTAGAACAACTTCCAGATAAGGTCATTTTACTAGATTGCAAAAATGTTGAGGAATTTGGCAAGATTACTGTAATGGCTGCCAATAATTTGGATGTTTTAACAAGAAATTGTAGCATTTGCAGAAATAAAATGGGATATAAAAGAAGAAGAATGAAGAATCTGTAGAACAATTGGCTGAAGATCTAAAATGAATTAATAACAGTATGAAAGTTTTGGAAGGTAAGAAAAAAGTTATAAATAGAGAAGTGGAGACATAATTGCCAATTTGGCATTACTGGAACTGAGAGAAAAAAAAATCTTTTAAGATTTAAAGCAGTTCCAGAAGAACATGGAGAGAATATCAGA